ATCTTGGATAAAAAGATTGGAAAAAGAATGTTTCGAAATGTTTTTTAATTTAGCTACAGTCATTGATGAAGCAGGCAAAGGATTTGACATCAAAAGTTTGAAAACCTTAATCATTGAGCATCTGTCCAGCTTATCTGAACGGTTTGAATTTTATTTTCCTACGGAGGATGACCCACGAATAGGAAAGACATGGATCAGAAATCCTTTTGTTGAACATAAGAAAAATTTGACTGTTAAGTTGGAAGATAAAATTTTGGAGCTTGCTGCTGACCAAGGCCTAAAAATGAAGTTTGAAAATACATCATCTCTTTCCGCTTTCTGGATCAGCATCAAGTCGGAATACCCAGAGCTCACTGACGAAGCAATAAAAACCCTTCTTCCTTTCCCTTCTACTTATTTATGCGAAGTTGGATTTTCATGTTTGACTGCAATGAAAACAAAATACAGAAACTGTTTGGAAGTTTGTTCTCCGCTACGTGTGGCACTGTCTTCGTTTCAGCCACGTCTTGAGGAATTAATAAATAGAAAACAAACTCATTCATCTCACTAATTTTTTACAACAATTTTTATTTTCTAATGTCGAAATATTTTTTATTGTTATTTCATTTTGAATAAAGTTATACAAAAAAAGATTCAAATTTTGTAAAATTGATAACACTTCGCATATATATATATATATATATATTCCGCAAGCTGGGTGGCGGTCCGCGACGTTCCTGTTAAATTCGTTGCCGGCCCGCCGAACCAAAAAGTTCGAGAAGCACTGCTCTAGTCAACTATATGCTGATGATTCTTACATTTATACTTCTTTTCCTCCATCTAATCTCAATAGTGTTCTTCATAATTTATCTCTATGTCTTTCTTCAATTATCGCTTGGTCTGACTCTATGTGTCTTAAACTTAATCCTTCTAAGTTTGAATTAATTTGTTTTAATAAATCTAAACACTCAATTACTATTCCTCCTATTATCTTACCTGATTCTAAAACTCTTGATGTCTCTCATAAGTTTCGTAGTCTAGGTTTTATCTTTGATTCTACTATGTCTCTCTCTTCTCAGATTAATAGTGTTGCTAGAAGCTCTTACTTTCATCTACGTAGAATAAAAAAACTTTTGCCTTTTCTTGATGATCCTACTCTTCTCCTTCTTGTTACTTCGTTAGTCTTATCTAGGATTGATTATTGTAACTCGCTCTACTATGGTCTTCCTGACTCTATACTCTATCCTTTAAGTAAAGCTTTTAACTTTGCTGCTCGTCTAGTTGCTCATGCCCCTTTCTTTTTTCATATATCTCCATATCTTGTTCTCTTGCACTGGCTACCTATAAAATATAGAATAATTTTTAAAATTTGCACGTTCATGTATAAGTCTCAATCTAAATTATTTCATAAGTATTTATCAGATATATTAATTGAACCTAAACGCCCCGGTTTACGATCGTCTTCTTCTTCTCGCTTTTTCTTAACTCGTGTTAAATACTCTTTTGCCAAATCTGCTTTTTCTGGTCCTTTTCTCTGGAACTCTCTACCTACTTCTCTAACTACTTCTCCATCACTTGCGAAGTTCAGAGCGGATCTCAAGACCCATCTGTTTTCAAAATTCATTGAGGAGCGCTGTTGAACATCGCGGAAATAGCGCTTCATAAGCTAATTGATTGATTGGTTGTGGTCTCATTTAATTCAGTACAACTTTCTTCCGAATAACCCTAATAAGCTTAAATGTGTGAATAAAGAAAACAAAGTGTTAAAGATATAATACTTTTTAATAGTCAAAACAAATATTCAGATAATTTTATCATTAGCAAAATTGATTTATTGTTATCAACAATTGCCGAGGTTATAAATGATGTACTCATAAATTTCGATTCCTTTCAAAAAGGTACCAGCATTCAAATATTCGTTGTGATCGTGAAGCAATTGTTTCGTTTTGTTTATTGGTGAAAATCCAATAGCTGGAATACCTGCCTTTAAACATGTTACAATTTTTTATTTAACAAAAATTTAATTCAATTTTAATTTCATAAAAATGAGATCAGGCATCCTTATCAACAAATGCCTATTATAGATTCCCTGTTAATTATAAAAATGTCAACAAAATTAATTATACAATAGGATAAAAAAAATGTAATTACTGGTCGCTTCAATAAATGTGACCAAGACAATTTTTTATGATGAATTAAACTAAAGATTACTGATCTTTCGATAGCATAAACAAAAACAGTGAACATAACTAATTCAAGAAAACAAAAAAAGGAAAAAAGGTTTACAATTGATTTTTAAAGTTTCTTTCAAATAAGATGGAAAACTGTTATACGTTTTTTCGTTGCGTAAAAATCATAAGGCCTTTACGTTATGAAAAGCATCTCAAGAGTTGTAAGGGGAAATTAGCATATTTGCTGCTATGGGGTAATTAGCTATCTATTAAGCTATCGGAATTCATCACTAATATACGGCATTTTGGTAAAAGCAAACATTTCTGCTCTTTCTCTTCTTGTCGTTGAGCGTTAAATTCATCTTAATATGGCAAATTATCTTATTCTGGACACATAACAAACACATACCCTTACAAATAGAGCCCCAAGCGCATAACTGCAACTCTGTTTCAAATCGCGGTTACCGCACCGCATCAGCGGTTGCGGATAAAAAATTCTCAAAACTCCGCGGATTCAAGTACGTAATTCAGAACAACCGCCCGCCAAATTAAAGTTTTTAAAAATTCTCAGAATAAAAAAAACTGTTTTTTTGTTTGTTTCTACCTATATATGTACGTGTAAATACATACGTAAGGATGTGTGTGCGTGTGTATAAAATCAAAAATAGCAGACGACCTTGCACGTCTTGTTGTAGAATGTTCTGGAAGAAAAAGAAGAGTGGTGTCTCAAAACTGTTGATGACTTCAGAGCCAGGTATAAAATTTAACGGCCATAGCTCAGAGTCTCTGGGGTCCACGTCGATAAAGCCAAGCAAGCAGTCCCTACTAATTACTTAAGCAGATTTGAATAAAGAGTTAATGCAATGCATACAAGTGCATACATAACCACGTCCATACATACATATACATACATGTATATGTAAATGCGCGTGCATATTATACAAAACGTATGTTTGAAGTTAATCTATCCTTGATACTTAACACAAGTGCTGTTATCACTATATAAACACATACACAATAAACACATATGTACAAATTAAAATACATATATTTGTACTGCTGCCGGACCATGAGCGGTGTGGATGCGGGCGATTGCGGTTTGGAAAAATCTTCTCCGCTTGGGGCTCTACTTACAAAACGGCATTCATGTTACTTTCTGGACAATCATGTTGTCAAGATCTCCTCAGGATCACCTGCTGCAAATTCGGCATTAACTTTCAGCTAATTAATTTTTAAACTATATACAAAAAGACATTATATATGCAACTAAACAAACTCAACGGTATAAGAAGAAATCTTTAAAAAATTGAATAAAAAAATAGTAGCAGTCAATTCGCTCACTTCTCTGATGTATCTGCTGTCCGTCCCACCAGGAAATATTTCAACGTCAGTTTTTAAAGCACTATTAATTGGGAAAAGTCAGCAAGCTTAAAAAACTTTTTTGAAAATTGAATAGTGAGTAAGCATTTTCACAACATATTAATTGAAAAACATGTCTGTATCAAACATCATGAAAATTTTGATTGAAAATTATATAACATCAAAACACGTGTTGACCAAATTTATTACAAATATTTAATCTGAATATGCTTATAATTAACATTATTTTCCGAAACAATTTCTTCATTAAAAAAGGCTTCATTTACCAACAAACGAATTTTTAAAGTGGATTGCACATGCACACAATCATACCAAACCAAGATTTCAAAAGGTTGAAATCAATCAGATTTATCGAACATAGAAAATTTTTTAATAAAATTATTAACTTACAGCTCACTAAACGTTTGAGTCAGAGATTTCCAAAAGGGATCCAGGTTAGCAATGTCCGTGTAATTTGATTTAGTGTAGTCCTTTAAAACCATTTAAATAAAAAATCAATAATTTTTTCATCAGCCACGCCAAAAAATATAAAATCAGCGGCACCAAACTAGCAGTTCAATAACCCATCTATAAATACTAATATAAAAAATTTGATAAAACGAGTCGCAGATTCTAGATTTCACGGAAGAATTTTTTTATTACAGTTTTTATAAAATTCCAAATATGAAAACCCAATTAAAAATGTCATGCCAGGGAATGAGGTATCGCCATTTTGAGCATGCGTGCACTCCGAAACATTATTGAGAGGTTTGCATGGAAACTTCGGTGTGAGAGGTGCTTCTGGCCATACTTATTAAAAAGAACTCAAGTTTGTTTTACTACAAATTTGTCAAAATTTATTTCCTTTTATTCTTCTAATAATATATTTTATAAGAATAATAATAATAATGATGATGATAATAATACTGATAATAATGCTGATATAAGCGCATATGCACCTTAACTTCAGAGGTCCTCAAATATTTTTACGTACGATTACAAACAAACACAAACACACGTTTAGACGGCATTTTCCCCGAGATCGGGGGTTGCCGCTTGGCTACCTATGATGAAACCGAAATACCCCTCGACTCCATCCACATCTGTCACTCGCCTCAGTATCACGCAACCCCGCTTTCACCCTGTCCTTCTCCACCTGCTCTCTCCATCCCAATCGCGGACGACCCCTTCCTACCACTCCTTCAACCTCGAACTCCAACGCTCGCCTAATCCCGACCCTTTCATCCCTTCTCAACACATGTCCATACCACCGCAATCTCGATCTCCTTATCAATGTCACAATGTCCTCATTCAGTCCCATCATTGACATCAGCTCTGTACTACTCCTCCTATCCTTCACTTAACC